TATATATATATATATATTTTCTATTCATCTATTGCGTGCATGGGTTAAAGTATAAATACTGGTATCTATATATCATGCACATCTCTTTATGCAGTGTCTCGACTTGAACGATATACTGAAGATCGATCGAAGTGTTGTATATATGGTTCGAATGAAGTGTTTTATAAATAGTCGACGATGTGCTTATTATCAATCCGCATCTAACAGCTCACTTATATTTATTTAGCCACCACATTAACAATGTACGAATACTATGATGAAGATGATAGATTCATATTCATAATTGGGTCAATTTGAATGGTATATATGACACTAGTACGATTGGAGACATGTTTGTCGAGTCCTTGGTAGATCTTCGACTCAACTATCAAATATCTGGGTGCATACGTAAAGAGCCCTGCGCAATGTGATGGGATAAGCCCGTGGCGATACAGCTTGTGAATCGGGACATTAGCCAGACACGTTACAAACACCGCTGACACGCTGTAAACGGACCTACGCAATCGACAATACAGTCACAGTTTGCGATCGAAGTGAGAACTGACGAGATATATTTCTAATTTTTCTTTCTCGCTCTTTTCCCATCGATTGCCACTACTCGGCGCAGTGTAAAGCCTGCAAGATCATCATCCACGGACACTGCCAGGCATTTGTCATCAACAACTGCTTAAAGACGTGTAAGTCACGCAAGTGTCGCGATTGTCGTGAATCTTCGAACAACTCAAACAACTCTGATTTTCTCTATGAATAACAATTCCATTCTCTTGCTCGACACGGGTGCCTTGTGCATGTGCACAAAACAAGCACTTGCAAATATACTAATTACGCGAAACAAACCGCATCTGCATGTATACTCGTAGTGTTAATACACACGCGTCTTTTTCTGTTTTAGTCCTAAAGAATGTGATCGATGCTCATTATGTTCTGTACACCACGTGCCCATCTCAGCGTACCGCGACGATCTCAAGGCACGGTTCCCAGATCTTAACCGCAAAGCGCGGAGTTATGATATACACGTGCGCTTTTATCACGAACATCTATTAGAACGGTTACGAATGTGCGGAGAGCGGCAGAGGATAGTACCGGTATGTGATGAGTGTGATTGTGGGATGTACGATGTGGGTGTGGGTGAGATTTTCATTTAGGGTACTTTGTCATTTGCGGGTGGGGTAGGATGGATAGAGCAACGCTTACTGAAGTTCACGTATTCACGGTTGCTTGCCTGGACTTGTACGTACATTTGCGGAAAGGCTTGTTCATTCTCCAAGACACGCATGCACTCGCTCACGCACTCGCTCACGCTCACGCACTCGCTCACGCTCACGCTCACGCTCACGCTCACACACACACACATACACACACACATACTAATATATATATATATATATATATAAT